CCACTGCAGCAGGGGCTGCAGCCTACGCCGTCGCCAGTGACTCTCGGCAGCCCAGCTCCAGGTTGAGCTGTTGTTCAGCATCTTAGCTGTAGAGGGCAATGTCACTGGCCCTCATATGTGGGATCTGAACCGGGGCCCTCTGGCATCCCAAGCCAGCTCTTAACCAACGTGCCACTTGGCCGGCCCTCAGTTTTGTTTTCTAATAAAAGTCTCACTTCTATTCCTCATAAGCAATTTTTGAGGTATCTGTTGTGTTGTGTGATCCTTTGGGGTCCTGGAGAGTTAGAGTTAGAGATAATGAAGTTTACTTATAGTCTCTGCAAATCCAGCTCACCTAGAGTTAGCTAAAACCTTTGCCTATTTTAGCAGACTGGAAATAACAGTTGGCAGGGCTTCATAATGCCTCGCTTTGAAGCACAGAGACACAGGTACAGGCCAGACCGTGGACAGGCATTTGGCGTTCAGTGGAGAATAAAACCGGCATGGCCTTGTCCTCATGTAGCTCACAGTTCAGTGAGGAAAGGCCGAATTGGGTTCAAATAGTTTCTTTTTCATGGTTCAACATTTGCTGCATTTAAATATCTTAAATAAGGAGAAACCGGATGGTGTTCTGGGAAATGAAGTACAATCCACTTGAAACTGTTGCTGAAAAATGATGTATTGTACAATTCAATTAGTCTTTCTGGCTCTATTGAGCAGTGTTTATATTGAGTCAGGGGCCTGCTGAATTAGGTTAACAATGCTACCTTTTAGTAGGTGAACAGAGGGACAAAGGGCACTGGCCAGTCTCCCAGGCCTTAAAAGGCTTCTTTCTTCAGGTGGCACTTAAGTCCAAAAGGGGGAAAAAAACAACACATTTTGCAGAGACAGTAAAAGCAGTAAAACAAATGGGACAGCAGCTACTGACATCATCAGCATTCATAAATTGAAATTACTAAAGACAAAAACAGCTAGTTTCAATAACATCTAAGGCACTGCTTCACAATGTTATTAACTAGTGTGAAGAATACAGAGCATATTGTGACCGCGGCTGCCTGAATATGTGAACAAATCCCAGCCATGTTGAGCCATTTTTGGCAGCAAGGCTGAGCACATGCTTGTTTTTGAGAATCAACCACTTGACACTGGTGTGGAAATTTTTGAGAGAACTCAAAATTCAGCATGAAATGTTCTTTTTGCAAAATAGAGCACTGTATCCCCACTGATTTCCTCAGTTCTAAATGGCCCTCCATGCTGGTGTGAAGACTCCGCTTTCAAACTCAACTGTGATTTAAAAGCTTTTTAAAAATGGAAATGTTTAAAAACATATGTACTTACTTAGAGAAGGAAGCCAGTGATATTCTTAGGTGATGAAGTTTATGTGAGAAGGAGTTCCTTTCTTGTTAATGTAAATATTACATGAGTTATATGTAAGCGCCAGATATATTGCACCTAAAAGGTAAGAGCTACTGTCCTATTTCTTGCCAACCGAATTACGAAAAACATGAAGAGCCTGAGTGCTGTTTCTGATACATAAAAGTCAGCTCAGAGGTACAGACGCATGAGCCCAGCACGCTTTCTTTTTAAAAAATAAGTGGTTTTTGGTTGGCATTCTTTACCATGAGCCCACTCCATTCACAGTAAACATTTTTACAGGGTTCATAGTTCACTTACCTATTGACCTATTACTATTTTACTAAATAATATTTAATGTCCGTTAATAACATTAACATAAACTAAATTCTTTCCATAGCGCTTTGACCTTATAAACAGAATAGTTTGAGCTCTAGGAACCCAGCTCTGTGACTGTGGCTGTGTTGCAGTGTGTGAACTAGTCCTCTCTTTCCAGGCCTGCCGTCTCCATGACTTGAGAGAGCCGAAAAGAGGAAGTCCAGGTGGACATGGGTCTCTTACCTGCCTGTCACTCATGAGGCTTTGGACAAAACAGCACAATCAGGCTATAATTAGCCCAAAACTAATAATGACCAAATCTGCTATATATACAACACATGTATTTGTGAATAAACACATTTGTCATTTGATTTGGACATTAAGCATCGTTGGAAGCGAGTTATGCTGGAGACAGCTACCTCTTAGAAACAAAGTTCTGGACCGGTCAGGTTTATGTCCTAATGAGAGAGCTTCTGGAAGGGTATCCTGGTATGTTCCCCCCGAAAAACAGGCCTGGGTCATAAAGCAACGGGGCAAAGAGGGTGTTAACCATAAGCAGCAACTTGGAGAAGGCACGGTGGTGGTAGTGGTGAGGGCTTTGCTTTTTGTTACAGGAGGAAAATGTATCAGAATAAAACAGATGAGAACATAGTCTTAGACTAACAAAGACTGGGACGGATAAGCTAGTTCAGTTTTTCTCAAACTGTGTTCCAAGGAACACTAATCCTACACAAAAAGATGTTCTGAGGTCCAACAAGAAATACGCCACATGCCACAGTCTTCTCTGGGTGATTCCAAGTGCAGCATGCTCGCATATGAAAGCTCTGGGGCACCTTGTAACTAGAGAAAACCTGCTTACCCTAGACCCTCCCCAAACCTGTTTGACTACAGACACGCAGCTGTTTAATGTGTGTAGGCTGTATGTGGGGGCTGGGGGTGGGGTGGGAGATGAAATCCAGCCTGGGCCCTGGGTCACCAACCAGAGGACGGGGCATCTTTCTCTAACTCGCTTCATCCTCTTGCCAAGCTGTGACCTCCCAGGGGTGTGCCCTCCTCGAGGGGCCCTGTTTCATTTATAAAGCTGGCCGAGCTGTGGTCCTCCAATGGAATTCTGGGTGACACCTGCTAACATGCACAGAACTCGTTACTGCTCCACGGACACACTTTGAGAAACGCTGAATTAGTCCACTAGCTGTAGTTAGTAGAAGAGAAAATTCAGTCCAAAGAGCTGAAGTGACTTATCTGAGGTTACGTTGTGGCAGAATTAGAACCAAAACTCAGATCTCTGGGTTCTCTGCTCTGTGCTTTTCAGCAGTTTACATTTACAGTTCTTTTTATTTTTTAATAACTCTGCCATAAACTATCTGCTCTTCACTCTTTCAA